GAAATTAAGCTATAATTTGCGAAGGGCTGAAATTCTCCCGTGCAGCTTGTTAGTATGAGGTACTCATAATCGTTGATTGCAAATACACAACGATTCCATTCAATCAGAGATATATGAATATACTTACGGCGACCGCATTAACGCCACCTTCCAGGCCAGAACCAGCACCGAACGGAATCACTGGAACTCGAGATTCATTGCACAGTTTCAGGATATCGCTTACTTGCTCTCGACTATGCGGCATAACAACAACATCCGGTTGCGATTCTCTGAAAATTACCCATACAAGCACGCACTCTCAATGAGAGTTGCAATCTGTTGAACTGATCCGACGTTTAATTATCGCGACTGTTAATTTACTTATAACTGCGTAGCTCAGATGTATTGATGGTAAATTCCAATGTTCGCTTGATTGTTTCACATAGTAATGGATTAATTGCTTGGTTATTCTGAGTGAATTTTTGTGAAGACTCTCCAATTAAAACACCCTTCCATTCTGATTTAAACCCGCAAAAAAACTTCAAAATAAACGCAATACATAGTACCAAGTCATCTCTCTAAAGTCTACGTGAAGTGAGCAGGCGATTTTGTGTGCACCAATAGCGCAATGCAATGTGGCGCTGATTCGAATTGAAAGCGTTGCATTTGAAGGCCGATGATTTTAACAAACATTAGAGATAAGCATATATCCGAGTGATAGTGAGGAAATATGACAGTCTGAGGCTGACGATGAAAAAACAAAATGCGAAATTTTACAATGAAATAAATCTAACAATAAATGTGAGGAGAACATTGATATACTAAACAATACTACCGTCTTCTATGTTAGGTTATGAGTTCAACTGTTTTTTCGTTATGAATTGATCGCGTGAAACTAAATCATTCAACTTGAACACTTTGAAAGTATTGCATAGCATTAGCAATAATTGAATATTCATCTGCTAGAGAACATTTTTTCTCGTAATTCTCTTAATTCCTTTCCATACTTCCAAATTCTTATTTTTTCAAACTATCCGATTAACGATTACACAGTGTACCGAAGAGGAGGTCAGCAAAACATACTCATGATGACTCTCATCGTGTCCATGCTGTTGACGAGCTGTTGCAGTTGTTTTCACGAATTCACTCCCCAGAATCTTTTCGAATCGTGGCACCAACGATGCGGCTTCCTGCAATTTTAACAATTCATCTGGCTGTTCCTTAACCACTTATTGTCTCATCCTTCAATAGTGTACTGTGTAATTTTGGAATAATGCCTCATTGAATGAATATTCCAAAATGCTCATTGTCTCATTGTATGTGTTGATATCCAAATATAACTTTATCAAATTTTTGATTTCTACGGTCACATTCAGCTGAATGATAAAAAGTGAATACCTTGTTAATGTATGATGAAAGATGACGAGCAATAAGGCGTGTGGCTAACATTGCTGGATCTTAAAAGTGATTCTTATCATTCAATTGATCATACTACCAAATTTCAGTTATAGTCAATCTCGCTTCTCATGGGAATATTCAAAAGAACGCATTCAAACAGCCAAAACATATAATCTATTTCCACCACGATCATTCCGATTCTAGCGATTTCAAATTAACTAATTAGCTCGCCAATAAGCAACTACCTAGAGAATTCACTGCAATGAAACAATTACTCACGGCACTGTACCACATAAAACACCCACAACTATAATCTTGTATATCAGCCGTACAATAACTAAATCAAATCAATGGTCTCATATTATCCGTCGAAAGTTAAAGTCATTCGGCTGCACTGTCATCATCAGCAAAATCTATTCATTCGAATTGAATCAACTAACTACAGACGTGAAACAGAAGCATTGATACTGCGAAATATGCGAACAAGAACAACAATAACATCGTAACCGGTTTATTTCACAACAAAAAACACGTCGAATAATGAACACTGAGAGTGAGTATTTCAAAAAGCGTAATAAAAATCTTCCAAAGTACACAACAAAAAATGATAAGCAAAGATGAGCTTTCTCTGGACTGCTTTGAAGCTAAAAGCAATCAGAAGGTGCAATTAAATTGGATCGCACGAAAATAATCGCAATTCATTAAGCTAAACTGCTGAAGTATGATTGAGTAGAATCATGAAATCAACAAACGAATCCGTAGAGCAAGCATTTCGCAACGAATGTCAACGTGACATATCGAAAATTAAAATCAAAACTGGTGATATTTCGAAGCAATTCAAAAAAAATGCTACATTCACGCTCTACCACTACAGCTTAAGATGGGCATTAAGATCACAAAATGTCAGAGCATGATCACACGGGACTGACACCATGAAGAAAATCGCGTATTAAGAGACCAACAAAAGCCACGAAAACGTTTCACCAATCGTATTATGTCACGCAATAACGATCAACAATAGACAATATATTGCACTATCAATAATTGAACTTAATAATAACCGACCTATCAATAAATCATTATCTCACCGATCAATACTTCTCCCTTATCGATGTAATCAATCGAAAATCAATCACCTATTATCAACATCCAAAAAATGATACCATCGATAAGCAAATCGCAATCAACACCTTATCTCTTCTATCTCCTGCTCACCTCAGTAAGCAATAACGTTCACTATCTAACAATAAGTGAAAAACTTACAGCTGCAAGAAATACGCAAACAATCGAACATAATACACAATTGGACAGAACAAAAGAGGCTCGTATATGGTGAAAGATACGATTATGGAATCGCATAACACAATAAGATGCCAAATAACAGCAGATCACATCGTGGACTAATCAAGATCATAACAACAAAGGTGCGATGATTTGTAGTGTACGTTCAGTTACAATTAATTCAACGCTCGCCTTCTCATAATCCACTTCCATCGGTAAATAGAAATCAGCCACTGTTCGCGATCGATCTTGAATGATCAAAACGTGATCATCGTTCATGCGTATTCGTAATCTGAAGTAGTGATTCTCATTCAATACAGGCATCAAAATCAGCCATCATCTTCAATTGAATCAGCGTATTTTTGAATGATTGCCGCTTTCAGATACTTGAAATAATTCAACTAAGAAGGAGGAATAAGAGATTTCAATCTGACTGCATCAAATCCGAACAAAATCGCAACCTTTCAGCGGTCTTCACAGGCGGATGCACTTCGGGTAATTTCACCTTTATCAACATTTCTTTGCCATCACGAACGATCAGCTGATAGTTCTTCGGTGCTCGACCGCACTCCTCCACATCACCCTGAAACCAGTCACTCAAATTCTCAAAATTCTGTTAACTGAAATTGATGAATATTAAACAATGAAAACATATCGCCGAAATTCTAAATCGGCTCTTATCAAAATGCCAAAGAACATTTATAGATGATGCACAATAAA